TGAATACTCGGCGGAGCTTGTCCTTTCTTCTGCGGTACGCCGTACCGCGCAGGAACTCGGAGAAGCCGATCAGGTCGTCGTCGTTGTCGTCGTAAAATGCAAACAGACGGTCGTGCAAGAGGTTCGGTGCGATATGCCTATAACCACCGGACGGAACCAAGTAGCGTTCAAATGTCTTGCGGTCCATGGCCAGGCCCAGCTCGTCGGGGTCTTCACGCCACTCGGTGCTCGCCATAAAGGTCCACTGCTCCCAGAGCGCTTCGAGCTCAGGGCGCTCAAAGCCGGTCTCCTTGGATAGCTTAGCCATAAGGTGCTTAGGCAGGAGTCTCAGACAGTTCTCGGGGTCACCCGGGTACCACACCGGCTGCAGCGGACGGGAGCCGAGGCGCGGGACGGGGACTTCCGGATCTTATAGAAGATGTGCGTCTTAGTGTGGAGACCTTGCGACTCGCATGTCTCGCAGAGATCAAAGTCGGTGCAGTTGGCACATCGATAGCGGATGCCGCGAATCGGGGTGGTGCCGCAGCCGTTGCATAAGCAGCCCCGATGCACGTAGGCGTTGCGCCGGGCATTGTCTTCGGAAACGCGAAAGAGGAGGCTGACGATGTTTTGGCCGGCACGTTGCTGCTGCGCGAACTGGTTGTTTCCGTCGTCGTACCAATTGTCGTCCATCACATGGTCATCGGCGACCGTCTCGGCGTCGTTCAAGGGCCGCACGGTGTTGACATCAACGTTCTCGTCAGCATTGGACTCGACCGACGTGGTGGAAGCCTCGGAAGGCTCCCGGCTGTGGCCATGAACGACATCCGGAAGCGAACGCCGTCGGTGTCGAATAGCATTGCTCCGATGCAAACGGCGATCGGGGGAGGGTTCGGGCAGTGGGGGATCGTAGACGCGGTAACAAAAGTAAGCCCAGGGTCGCGGTTACGGCAAGCGACAAAATAGCTACGCTAATGCGCTGCCTGGTCAGCGTCGAGGCTGCGGGAGAATGAGTCCATGATGTCCGGCGTGGCACCATGGTCGGGACTTTTCCGTATGTTCTGCCCGGGTTAGGCAAACAGTTGAGTTTTTTTTTTTTTTTGTTGGTTAAGGTTGCCTGTAACTTGGTCTTGCTTTGTTGACCAGTTTGTCAGGAAGTTGAGAGATTGCCCGCGATAACAGTGCTCAAGGTCTGTTATCGGAACTAGAGCGGGTCTTCCTCGTCGCCTTGGTCTGGGATCAGCCCTTTTCCGAGACAAGATTCCAGACAACTAACGTATAGAAGTCAAAAGAAGTTAAGTTAGGAGATACGTTCTTGTTTGTTTAATATGGAAGACGAAATCCGAGAATAACAATCCATGTACCCACCCGGCATAAAGTCGACTTTCCCCAGCGCATCTTGATTCTTTACTTTTTTCCCCTCCAAACCGGCTTGAAATAGCCTTGTCGCGGTAAGCCAATCAAGTTAGACACTGTTGTCTTACACACATCACTTCGAGGTAGTATTCTATACTTGGCACTCGTCCCTGAACTCCCTTCACAAACACCAACAAAGTGGCCTGAGTCCGTCAAGGTCGACTACTTGCTCGCCACATTCCGCAGCGAAACGGGCCCCGAGGAACCATGAACATCGCCGTTGCAGAAACCCTATCGCTTGATTCAGGTAACCAGCCGACCTCTTTGGACTCCCATCAGCCCTCGGTGCGATGCAATGCAGGCAATGCGATGCAGTGCGAAGCAGTAACTGACATGTTCCCGGCCTCGCAGTCGAGTACGATCCGATCGCCCACCTGAACTTGCTCTTCTCGCATCCGTCCACCGTCCCCTCCGTTGCGCGCGTCTCGTCGACCATCCAGCGCCACAAAGATGGCCTCTCTCGCTCGATCACGGCCCTCGAGACCGCCCAGGCTTACGGGCCCGACTCGTCGCTGGAGCGCATGCAGTCAGCCCAGGCCGAACTGGCGTCCCTCTTCCAGCGTATCGAGAGTGTACGCAGCCGTGCCCTGCAGACCGAACGAGACATCACGACCATGACCGCCGACATCAAGCGCCTGGATGGCACAAAACGCAACCTCACCCTCAGCATGACCGCCCTAAAACGGCTGCAGATGTTGACTACCGCCTACGAACAGCTGCGCGGCCTCTCTCGGACCCGCCAGTACCGCGAGTGCGCTGGTCTCTTGCAGGCTGTCATACAATTGATGCGCCACTTCAACAGCTACCGCAGCATCGAGCAAATCGCCGTGCTGAGCCGCAATGTCAGCGATCTACAGCGTGAGCTGCTCGAGCAAGTCTGCGAGGATTTTGAGATGGCTTTTGCGAAGGGGGAGGTGGCTTCCCGTCGCGGTATCTTGGTCGAAGCCTGTCTGGTCATGGATGCCCTCGGTGATCACGCCAAGACGAGGCTGGTGACGTGGTACGTCAACACAGAGCTCCGGGAGTACCGCCAGGTCTTCCGGGGCAACGACGAGGCAGGAAACCTCGACAATATTGGGCGCCGCTACGCGTGGTTTAAGCGCACACTTAAGACGCACGAGGAGGAGCACGCTGCCATCTTTCCCCCCCACTGGCGGGTCGGCGAGACACTAGGGATGGCTTTTTGTGACGGCACGCGGGATGACTTCAAGGGCATCCTCGAAAAGAGCATGCGCCGGATTGACGGGGCCAAGCTCGACGTCAACCTGCTTCTCAGCTGTCTCCAGGAGACGATGGATTTTGAGCAGAGCCTGGAACGTCGGTTTGCAAGCGAACCGCGGGCCAGCATCGATACGCTGAGTTCGGCGGACGACCGGATACAGAGCTTCAACGGCTCCATATCCGTTGCTTTCGAGCCATACCTGAGCCTATGGGTCGAGTCACAGGACAAAGCCCTAGCAGCCATGATTCCGAAATACAAGACACAACCGCTCTTACCCGCCGACGAGGAGTTTTCTCCGCAAGCTGTCATCCCTTCTGCCATCGAACTGTTTCATTTCTACAAGCTTACGCTTTCGCAATGCGCTAAACTGTCTACCGGGGAGCGACTGCTCGATCTCAGCGGGACGTTGGCCAAGTACCTCGACGAGTACGCTCAACAAGTCCTTGTCACTTTCTTACAGCGCGGCGGGACCACAGGGCCCTCCTATTCAAGAAGCCATTCTCGTTTTGAATACGGCAGACTTCTGGCACACCAACACCAACCAATTAGAGGAGAGCATAAAGAAGCGCATCGACCCAGACATGGCATCAAAGGTGGACCTCTCGTCGCAGTCCGACTCCTTCATGGGGGTCGCCAGCGCCGCCGTCATGTCCTTGGTGGCTAAGGTGGAGCTCGATTGCGAAGGGGCCTGGCGGGAGATGAAGAACACCAACTGGAGCCGCATGGAGAGCGTCAGCGACCACAGCTCGTACGTTGGCGAGCTTCTCAAGCACGTAAACGGCAAAGCCCGGGAGATTCTACCCCTCTTCATCAAGCCGCAGTACGCCCGCGCCTTCTGCGACAACCTCGTCGATGCGCCTCGCCGTCGCCTACATCAACAAACATCGTCCAATGCCGTCCCGTCTGCGAAAGTCGGCGCCCGAGCAGATGCTGCTCGAATAAATACGTGCTAACCAAAATCCCTTCGGAGAACCTCCTCTCCTACCACAACACATCGACCACCGCACCACCACCACAACCGGCAGCGCCCTCTACTCCCCTCTCCCCCTCCTTCCCACCGCCCCCCAAAACCCACCCCCCAGCCGGCTTCATCAAGCAGGTCACCCAATCCATGACGCGCATCGACCCGCTGCTCAAGACGCTACAAGTCCGCCCTTCCCCGCCGGAGAGCCTCGTGCAGGCGTACCTGATCCACATCGGCGACCGCTCCGACACCAACTTCCGCAAGATCCTCGAGCTCAAGGGCGTGCGCAAGCAGGACCAGCCCCTCCTCCTCGAGCTGTTCGCCATCCACCGCGAGAGCCACCACCACCCGGCCGCCGCCGCGGGAGCCCTCGTGCAAAACTCCCCGCTGCTCACCCCGCTCATGGCACCCGGCGGCTCGGCGCTGTCGTCGTCGTCCGTGGGTGGTGTCGGTGGGGGTGGTATTGGTGGGGGTGGTGCTGGTGCTGGTGGTGGTGTCGGCGGGCCGGTGAGTGCGGGGTTGCAGGGTCGGTTTGATGCCGCGTCGTTGGGGGAGAAGTTGTTGAATGCGGCGCGGGACGGGGTGGAGAGGATGGGGACGGCGCCGGGAGCGGGCGGGGTGGGCGTGGGTGCGCAGGAGAAGGCCACGATTAATGAGAATTTGAAGAATATCGGTATGTTCTTTAAGAGGGATATTGGCGGACTGGGGGCGCGGTTTGGGAAGAGGGATATCACGCCTACTGGGGGGTTGGATGGTTGAGTGGGTTCCGGGTTGGGGGTTGTTTCTGAGGGTGCTGGTTGTGTGGTTGTGGGATTAGAAAGGCTAATAGGTACTGTGTTGGAGCGGCTTTGGATTGCGGACTTGGCTGGAGCTGGGAAATATTTAGCGGGGGTAGACATACACTCGGGGGGTTCGTGATGCTGTTACAATACCGGATACAACCCGTTTTAGTTGCACAACGAAGTGCGCGCTCATGGTCATCGAGCACTAGCAACCTTGGCTGTCTAACACGTCTGGCAGTCGTTGTGTCTTGAACGTCCCTTGATATAACTACCTAACTGCCCTGAGTATCCTTTTCATCCATCCAACGAATCTCATAACAGGGTTAGGGTTATGCTCAACCTCCGACCAAACCACCCAAAGCAACAACATCTTTAGACTTCATCCACCACAGCCTTTAGCTACGCACATGCTACCGGCATAATATCCAATTTCGATTGGCATATTTCTTTATGGATGATATATGAGTCTGCAAAAATCAGTGCCTCGAAATGACATTTCATCAACCCTCAATTTAATCATCTTCTTTGCTTAAATGACCTGAAATCCAAGTGGCATGAATGAGTCGCGAGACGGTCAATTAAACTAATCAATCCATCCAACATGATTCAGGGGATATTTTATGCCCGCTTCTTTCCCCAAGAAGGTATTCGCTTCTCTCTGTGTTCACTAGAACAAACTGCTGACTTTGACCAGGGACCAAGATCGTATCCCAAAGCCCACCAGGTTGCATGGTACCCGTTTCCGGCGCCGCAACCACCAAACCGCCGCTGTTCGACTTCAATGTCCTGCAAGAGTACATCATCCCACGCCAAGCCTTTTGCAATCGCTACATCACCGTTGCCGACCCGGATGGCAAGTATGTCGTTCTCGGCTTTCCGGTCTCCATTCCCAGTCCGCGATACGATCGGAATGAGTTCATCTTCAACTTTGGCCTGGTCGTCGAGAATGAAGTCGACCAGGTCCCCTACGAGCGCGTCGTGCGCCGCCTAGCCGTGACGTTCGCCGAGATGGAGAAACAGAGCGGGTTTCTCAGCCAGGATGTCGACGCTTCCTCCGCTCGCCGGCCGATCGGGTCATTGCTGGAGATCATCAAGGAAGATTTGAACAACTACGGCGAGTGCATGATCCCAGTTGGTGAGTCCTTGCCTTTCCTCCCCTTACTTCTCATGGCCCCTCTATCATCTCATCCGTCACCTCACTAACCAGCCACCCCCCAAGACGACGCCAACACCATCAACATGAAGCTCTTCCCGCACCACCCGACCCCACCCGAGGTCAAAGGCTGGCACGTCCCCGTCGCCAAGATGAAGTTCGCCGACGTGGTCGACCCGACCTGGGACCTGACCCTCCAACGAGTGACGGCGCACATCGACGGGGTGTCGGACGTGCGGCGCATCGCCTTCCTGGCCGACGTGTCGCTCGAGCTGGCGCAGCTGGCCCTGCGCCACCTGCTCTACTACGACACCATCCTGCTGCTCGACATGTTCTTCTTCGGCGCCTGCTACGCGCCCCGCCCGGGCATCCACGACTTTGTTGCCAACGTCGGCGGCATGGTCGACGAGTGCGCGAATTATGTCTGTGTGGGCCCGGGGAGGGGTCACGAGCGGAGGAGTGGGGATGAGGATGAGGATGAGGATACAGAAGAAGATTACGCCACAACAACCAGCAAATAAGAGAAGTAATACCAAAAAAGCTAGAAAGAGAAAAGAAACAAGGACAAAAAAAAAAGAAACAAAAGAGAAAGAAAAAAAAA